TAGCAAAAACCTCTCCAAAAATAATAATAATAATAATAATAATAATAAAGTAAAAAGAAAAAAATTTAAAAAAAAAGAGAACTCCACAGAAAAGGATAATAGCCAATCCAATTCTCTTCAGAACTTTGAAAATAAGAGTAGGCAGTATGAGAAAAAGCTGAAAGACAGAAATGCAGAGAAGACAGAAATCCAGGCTGCAACGAAAAGGAACTTACTCTTGACATACTATTTTTGCCTGTTTTCTCTTTTCTATCTTGTCTTCTGCTTTATCAGAACTTCTGTTTATTTCTAACTGTAATACTACAGTTAGAAATAAACCATTTTTTCATAATCTAATAAGAGTTTTACCAGTCGTTCAAATATTTTTATTCAGTTTAACATTCTTTTACGGGGTATACAGATATACAGTTTGTTTGATCAGCTACTAATATATTTTGGTGACCCTTTATTGTTGTACCCAAGAGCCAGTTCACTTTTTCTCCGTGTTCAATATTTAGCTTCGGTGACATTTTGCCGTGTTCTTTCTCATCCGTTACGGAAGCATTTCCATCCTGCTTGGTGTGAGTTGCCCTTTTAGTTTTCTTCCTATGGGTCTGTTTTGTTGGACTCCTCTGGTTTTTTTCGACTTCGCTGCCCACGTCCCACAGCATTATCTTCCCATCGTTACCTCCAGTAAGTAGCAGATAGGATCCTGGCAGGAAGCAGACCTGAGATACCCCTAAAGTGTGGCCCTTAAAACCCAGTTCCTGTTCACACTTGACTCCACGCACCCTAAAGATTCGAACCTTACCATCTTCTGCACCACAACTAAAAATATTGCCACAGGATGCCACAGAGACAGAGTGGGCTAGAGCAGGATTTAAGAGCTGGCCAGGTGACTGCGGGCCTTCCATTTCCTCTGTTTCATCTTCCTGCAGATTTGTAATCCAGAGAGGTCGGGCTTTCTGGAGACTCCACAGCATCACCTTTAAACAAGAAGTTACACGGTTAAACAGAGTTTTAGCAATTTTGTTGAACTATCGTGATTATTCACCCTCTAATAAAATTACCAAAGTGATTTCAATGATCAGTAGGAGCCATTACCACCAATATTTTAATTCTTTTAAAAATATTTGCTATAGGACATGTGCACCTGCTGGAGAAAGACAGGAAGAGAGAAAGAGATGAAAAGTGAGAAAGTACCCACTAGGGGTATGGCCTTGCTACATTCCCTTCACCTCCATTCTCCTTTCAGGATTTTGGGCACACACACACACGTGCCTGGCATGTTTTTTAAGCTGCCAGGTTTGGGACATGAACAACCCCATCGGCCTGTGGAATCAAACCACCTTAATCACTATGCCACTGGCTGACGCCCCAGCAATACTTTTTAAAAATTTATTTAACCTTCTTTCTTTCTTTTTTTAAATTTGACTAGAGAGGAACAGAGTGAGAGAGAGAGTGAGAAAGCCAGTCACCAAGTCTGGGACTGAACCTCGGTCAGCCATGTGGGAGTCCGGTGACCTTAAACTACCACGCCACCTGCTGTACTGCCCCCTCCCCTAGCAGTTAAAAAAAAATTAGACCACGGGTCCAACAGATGGCATAATGGTTGTGTTGCTGAACTCCCACATAGTCAACTGTGGTTTGAGTCCTGGACCCCGTAGCTTAAAACTCACGCAGGGCATATGTGTGTGGATGCCCAAAGTCCCGAGAGGAGAATGGAGAAGGAATTGCAGCATGGCCATCCCCCTTGGGGATGATTTCTTGCTTTTTGTCCATCTCTCTGTCCCTCTGGCAAGTGCATGTGCCCTATAGCAAAAATCTCCTTTTGGGAAAAAAAAAAAAAAAACTATAGCAAAAAACTCCTTTTGGGAAAAAAAAAAAAAAAAAGAGATCCTACTGGGTCAGCCAGTGGTGTGGTGGTGAAGGTGGCTGGATCCCACATGACTGACTGTGTGCTTTTAGGCCCGGATCCAGCAACTTGAAAAATATACAAGGCACATATGTGCATGCTCAGAACTGCGAAAAAAGAGCAGGGAAAGGATTGCAGTGTGGCCATTCCCTTCTCTCTCTGTCTCTCTCTCTCTGAGTAGCACATACCCTATAGCAAACAAACAAACAAAAAAATTAGACACTACCGTAACATCCCAGTGTACTAATCTAAACCTAATAAAACTAGAATACAGATGAGAAGGTGGACTTTATAAAGCAAGACCCTAAATAACTTTTGATGAACAAATCCTATTAAAACATAAAGACCTGGGAGGAAAACGGAGAAGGGATTGTGGCATGGTCAGCCTACCTATGGAGTAATTTCTTACTTTCCCTCTCACTATCTCTGTCTCTCTCCTCTCTGGAGAGCACATGTCCTATGGCAAAAGTCTTAAATAGATTTTTCTTTGTGTGTGCTCGAGGGTGCATGTGCTCATCAGAGACAGCGAGAGGAGAAAGCAGCCCCCGTGGGACCAGTTACACTACAGCCCCTTCTCTTCCATTTCTCTCTCCCTTCACAATTCAGGACACACACAAACACAATCTGAATGTTTCCCAAGATACTGAACCGCACAGCTGGCCAACGTGGGATCCGGCTGCCTTAACCACCAGGCCACAAAGCTGGCCCCAAAGTACGATTTGCAAGCAGCTGCCAGTTTCTATGTCTTTCGACCCTCATCTCTTCAAGTAAAACTTAAGATTATGAAATTTGTTAATTTTACTCTATGCCGGTTATTCGTAAAAAGGCCTCTCAACTAAACAAACTGAATCTGGAGTATCACTGCAATAGCACCTGGAATACTTTTCCTTTCCTTTTCCATTACCTAAATGACCTATCCTAAGGGCGTAAGCTCAAGTCCCTGTCCCTCCAAGAAGGCTTTTCGACCTATTCCAGCCCACCTTCTCTTTCCTGTATCTAATTCCAGTTTTATTACTTGACATATACTACTGGCTTGCCAAGTTTCTTGATATTTAATTCATCTATGCTAATACTCTTATGTCTGAGGGGAAAAAACAGAAATCCTAAACATGTCTGGTAATTAATTTGACATCCTGGTATTACATTTGGCTTCTAATTGTACCTGTCAGCTTAAAACTCACACTGGGGGGGAACCAGCAGCTAGTGTAATGGCTACGTCGCCGGACTCCCATGTAGTCAACTGCGGTTCGCATCCCGGACCCAGTGGCTTAAAACTCACGTGACCATCCCCCCTGGGGGGTGATTTCTCGCTTTCTGTCTCTATGTCTCTCTCTCTCTCTGTCTGGCGAGCGCACGTGCCCTATAGCAAAAAACCTCTCCAAAAAAAAAAAAACAAAAACTCACACTGGGCACATGTGCGTGCATGCCCAAAGTCTCAAGAGAATGGAGGAGAAGGAACTGCAGTGTGGTCACCCCATCTGGTGGGTGATTTCTCACTTCCTCTCTCAAGCACACGTGCCCTACAGCAAAAAATCTCTCTAGAAAGGAAAAAATAATTAATGGGTCAGTAGGTGATGTGGTGGTTAGGATGCTAGACTCCCACTAGGCTGATTGTAGTTTGAGTCCTGGACCTGGCATCTTGCTTTCTCACTCTCCCTCTTTCTGGTGAGCGCACATGCTCTGTAGCAAATTTAAAAGGTAATAGGGATGAGGGGCGGGCCAGTGGTATGATGGTTAGAGGCGTTGGACTCTTACATGGACCACTGCAATTCAAGTCCTGGACTTGGTGGCTTGTTTTCTCACTTTCCCTTTCTCCCTCCACCTCCACCATGTGATCAAACTGGAAAATAATAAGGGTAATAAAGTTAAATAATTCTTTTTTAAAAAAGATATGATCTGTAGCAAATTTAAAAGGTAATAGGGATTAGTGGCGGGCCAGCAGGTGGTATGATGGTTAGAGGCGTTGGACTCTTACATGGACCACTGCAATTCAAGTCCTGGACTTGGTGGCTTGTTTTCTCACTTTCCCTTTCTCCCTCCACCTCCACCATGTGATCAAACTGGAAAATAATAAGGGTAATAAAGTTAAATAATTCTTTTTTAAAAAAGATAATAGTGATGATAAATAGAATTAACTCTTAAAAACAAATTTAAGAGGCCAGCAGTGGCATGGTGGTTAAGGTGGCTAGATCCCACATGGCTGACTACAATGTTCGAGTCCCGGACTGGTGGCTTGAAAGCCATGCTGGGTTTGTGTGTATGTGCATGCTCAAAATCCCAAAAGAAGGGAAAAATGGAGGCGGGACCATCCCCCATGAGGGGTGCTTTCTCATTCTTCCTCTCCATCTCTCTCAGCCTCTAGAGAGTGCAATGCCCTCTGGTAAAATGAAAACAACCGAAACCCCCCTTTAAGTTCCAGTCACATCCTTTACCATGGATGCTACAGATATATGATTGTTTCAAATTTTCAAAAGTCTTTATAAGGAAAAAAAACCCTATAGTTGTGGTAGGTACATGATATTTATCTAGTAGTTTTTTTTTCCTTAAGTTTTTGTCATAAGGTGTGCGTGCTTGCTAAAGAGAGAGGGAGGGAGAAGGAAAGTTAAGAAATCACCCACTGGGGGGCTGGGTGGCCATGCTGCAATCCCTTCTCCTCTATTTTCCTCTTGGGATTTTGGGCATGCATGCACATGTGCCTGGCATGATTTTAAGCTGCTGGGTATGGGACCTGAACTGTGGCCGATCATGTGGGAATTCAGTACATTAATCACCATGCCAACTGCTGGTCCCTATCTAATGGATTTGTTATGTATGTATTATAAACATTATTTTGTACCTATTGGATGAAAAATAAAGATAAGGTACCACTATGAGAGGCTGGGTCCATATAAGAGGTCTGGGTTTAGATCCTGGACCAACCTGAACAGGGCAAGTGTAGGGTACCTGTCATCCTAGCTAACTGGGAGGCTGGGACAGAGGATCCCAGTGATGAGACTCTGTGAAGTGTCTCTCTCTCTCTCCCCCTTCTCCTGAGCGATATTCTCTTTCATTAAAACCCACTTAGAATGATATATAGTGAGTGAATATTAACAACAAAACAAAAATCTCAAGACCAAAACCACTTAAAACAAGTTTTGTGAATAGATGTTACACTATAACCCACTGATTCTTTTTCTATATTAACCAACTTGAAAAGAAAAATATTTTAAAATAATTATTTCATTTTAAAATTTTATTTATTATTTTTAAATTTGACCAGAGAGAAAAAGAGAGGGAAAGTGAAAGAGCAAGCTGCCAGGTCCAGGACTTGAACCAAGGTCAACCATGTGGGAGTCCAGTGCCTTAATCATAATGCCACCTGCTGGCAAGAAAAATATTCTTCGGCTGGCCCTGTAGCCTAGTTGTTAAGGGAGTCAGATCCCACATGACCGACTGAGGTTTCGACCCTGGTCTCAGCAGCTTGAAAAACTCATTGTGTGCACATACATGTTTGCCCAAGATCCTGACAGTATGGAGAACTAAAGGAGAGTGGATTGTGGCGTGACTACGCCCCATGAAGGGGAGTGCTTTCTCCCTGTCTTCCTCTTTCTCTGGTGAGCACAAGTGCCCTCTGGCAATGAAAAAAAAAATGAATGAAAAATATTCTTAATACTTTGACAGAAAACAGTCTTATTTTACTATCTAGTATCATCCTGAATGATATCACACACTTTTAAAGGACACTAGGATACACATGACCTAGTTCAAATAGTCAAAAGCATAGATCTGAGTTGACAATGTCATCATTACTGATATTATTAAAGATTTGGTTTCCTATTCCAGGCAAATTTCCTTACAATTACTGTCATTAGTCTGTTTTCAAAAGCAGTGACATTCAATAACACGTTCTGCTTCTACTATAAATACTTATTTTTTTTACTATAAATACTTTTGAATTGATGTGTAACATAATACACTAAGTGGCTGGCTGTCAATCACTTGAGTGAAGCCAAAGTACTAACAAACTGAAATAAGCTACGGTAAAATATATAAATACCAGAAAATATAATACAAATAAACGAGTGCTGAAAC